AGCCCGCCAGGAAGCCGTCAGCGCGCAGGGCCAATCACAGGCACTGAGCCATTTTCCGATCTCCGCAGCTGCCGACCGGGAACATGTCTCAGTGCCTGTGATTGGCCCTGCGCGCTGACGGCTTGCTGGCGGGCTCGGCACGAGGCGCTTGCGAACACGCCCGAGCTCATCACTAGTTACAAGTAGAGGGTCTTGATGGCCACCTGTCCCAAATTTGCTTTTAAATGGGCATTCCCCATGTTTTAACACTAGGTAGTTGTATGGCAGAGAAATTGTGACTTCTTGTCTCTGGGGCTACCACGGGCGGTAAAGCTTGTATCCAAAGTTTGCTATATGCTTCCTGGCTGCATACAGAGTTTTTTTTTGTAACAAAGTGTTAGTATAGGTGTGTATATCAGGGGTAGGAAATATACTTGGCAACCATGTCTTTGGATCTAGGTTACTGGTGAGCCCATAGTGTCGTACAGAAATATGACTGGTATTTTAGTTGTTTTTTTTACTACATAGAGACTTGATAAGCAAGCAGATCTAGCACATAGTAATTACAATGTCTCTGGGCACTAACTTGCAACAATCTGATAGTAAGGTTATCACTTACTCCAGTAGAGAACGTCTTGACATAAACAGCTTCCCGTGCTCAGGTGGGGGTCTGGCCAATGACCTAAGGAAACAAAACATGATATTGTGTGTTATTACAGTTCTATGCACAGCAATGATGCTAGACAAACGTCAGACATATTATGGACAAAAAAAAAAAAAAAAAAGTTATTACTATAAATGATTTCCTTGGGCAATCATTAGGCAGATATTCACTTAATATATGAAAGCATTCCATTAAACTTTACTGGAAATGGAAATATATATCAAATTATAAAATATTAACCATTAGCAGCCAAATTCCAGTACAGTGCTGTGTCCAAGTGACCAATACGTCTATTCAGCTGTTATATGTGCTTAGAATTTGTTGGTTGTACATGTTGTTGTTATAAAAAGGGGGAATAGCAAACTCAGGAAACATACAATACTCTTTGCCTCCTCCAACCAACATATCGTGGAGCACATATCGGAAGGGTCTGTTGCCAAATGTGGAAATAATATTACTAGACATAAACAACACACCGTCTCTGCCTTGGCATGTTAATTTTATATAACGGCCCTATTATACCAATTTTTTTTTAACATAAAAATAGACTACTGCAAAAGGACATACCAAAGTTCCAAGGATACCTGTAGCCAAAGGCCTGCCAAGCTGCAGGTTCATTATTCTTAGAGATAGGCCACAATCAGTTCAAGCAAACTATGGACTCCCGGAAGCAACATTTATGGGGTTGTCAGTGGGATAGGAAGCCACAGACTAACAATAACCTGACCAAGGTCCTAAACCTTCATTTTGCTGAAGTCATCTCCCCAGTTGGGGTACAGACTGCAAAATAAAAACCTGACAGATGTAATATTCCTTCCAGCAAAAAAATAAATAAATAAAGTTTTGGCTGGAGTTGTTGGTTACTGAAAAGCAAATCCAATATTCCAGCAAAGTAGGCAAAAGGATATGATCCATAACAATGGCTTATTCTTCATTACCTCACTTTACGGCCGTCTTTTTCTCCATTTCCAGGGTGGAAATTGGTGGCTGCAGTGGGGGCTTCCAAAGCTGTGGATTCTTCAATCAAATTGTTTACAAACTCATTGAAGTGAATGTCCACCTCCTGCATTAACTCGTTCTTTAAAAGCTAGAGGGCAAGAGAAAACACTTTAAATGCATCAGTTTAAAAATAAAGTATTTGGTCACAGGTATAGAATATATAGGAAATGAAAAGGATCAGACACCCAAAAATTGAGATTGCACTTTTAAAATGACACTAAACTCAGGAGTTAGATCTTAAAAATGTACATTTTGTCGACTAATACATTTCCAACATAGTTTTCGTCAACAACACCTTTTCAGTGACTAAAACTAATAAAAACTAAGTTTTGATGACTAAAGCCATAACGAAAATATATTGACATTTCACTCTACTAACTAAAACTAGACTAAAATGTTAGGGTGAGACAATTTGGGAAGAGATCCAAATCAGAACTAATCTCTTTGGACTTCGTTTCATCCTGAATGGACAGCTAATCGGTAATATGTGCAATAGCATTAAAGCCAATATAGTTTTTAATTTCAATATTTTAGAGTTGCACTTCTGCTTGAAAGAATAAAGAATGTCATATGCAAGTTATTATAAACAATGCTTATCTAATTACTGGTCCTTTGTTGAAAAATATTAAATATTATTGTTTCTTTATAAGACTTGGTTTAACCCAATTTTAAGATAAAGACATGGGATATATCACAACAGTTAAATCTGTGTCTGTATTGCACGTTCAAACCTTAATACCATAAGTAATAAACAGGTTAACAGAGGTTTACTTCAGGGGGAGTATAAAAAAAATTAGATTGGAAATTCTAGAGAAATTCTTAAATTACTCTTTAACTAAACCCATTAGTCTTTAGTAGACTAAATCTACTGTAGATTTAGTTTGATTAAAATCTTATGATATTTAGTTAACTAAAACCAAAACAATTCAGATGAATAAAACTAAATGGCATTTTAGTCAAAAGGACTATGACAAACTAAATTTGCTGTCACAATTAACACTGCAATGCAGTACCTGAACTGTTACACAAGATACATTTTTGTTATCACTCAGCTTTAGATCCTCAAATCATCTCTGAATTGGTGCCGACACTGCTCTTCCCCCTGAAGGATGGCTACATTTGCTCCCCATGGACCCTGTGTGTGTTGTAAAGTAGCTGCCCCTCCAAGCTCGCTCCTGTGATGGACTACAATCTCACATTTAGTTTACTAATTTGTATTGATGTCTATCACAGGAGTGAGCTTGGAGTTGTGGCTACTTTACAACACACACAGGGTCCATGGGGAATAAAAAGTAGCCACCCTCCAGAAGGAAGGACAGCATCAGTACAAGATAAAGATGATTTGAGGATCTAGTCGAGTGATACACAAATAAGATACAGTATTGTTAATAGTTAAGGTACTTGAATGCATTTTTAAGATTTAACTCCCGAGTTTAGTGTTAAGAAGATTTTGGAGAGTTTATTGCATTTCTCAGGAACTCTGTTAATGAGCTCTATGTGGAGTTCCTGGGTTGTCTGCTCATGTGTCATTATGAATAAAATGTAACCAATTATGAGAAATTCACACACACGCTGTTTTTTTTTAAATATTCCAGCTCGTTTTGGCCCCCATAGATGAACTACAATCTGCTCAAAAAACCAAAGTGTGCACGAAAACGTGCAAAAAGCTCACAAAAATATGCACAAAAAAAAAAAAAAAAAAAAAAAAAAAATTTTAAAAAAACATTGTACCCTGGGGGGGAAGAGAGACTTTTTTTGGCAGTTTACAAGCTCAAAGAAGAAGATCTGAGTGCTGCAGGATATTTAAATTTCTAAGCAGCATGTTGATAATCGCATTATATTAGTAAGCATGACGTCTGAGGAAACCACTTCTTGCACAGGTTTATCTCTGAATAGGCAGGAAACATCTGATCGTTGCCAAGCAACCCTGGAAACCAATGTAATTGACCTGGGGAATTCCATTTATTAGCACGATAATAACAATATATGGCCTTCGCTACTGATGGAAATGCTTACACAGAGGCATGCTTGGTCACAAGCTGGCTGCAGATTTAATATCTAATAATATTTTCTCCGATGTCTAACCTTTAATATCTCCATATAAAAAAAAACCAAGGGAACATTACGAAATAGTGATTATCCTTGTTGCCTATGTTCCAAAAGGGATAGTTCACCCAAAACTCTTACAATAATGAAACATCACTGTGGACATTCTCTAAAATACAAGATAAAAAATAAATAAATAAGGAGAGGTAGACTGTCTCCTAATGGCTGCTGTTTGTGGGCGGACCAGAGAACAATGCTCAAGAAATCCTGCCAGCACAGTATATGGGAGAGAGTTCAGAGATTAAACCTCCAAACATCAAAGCAAAATGGACAGGACTGAAAATTTAAAAGACAACATCACTCCGATGTTTTTAGTGGGAGGAGGCTAAGGTGAGCTGCTTATATCATTAAAGTGTAAGCATTGCCCAAACTTTTTTGGATAATTTTTTTTTACTGTGTGTTGCATTGGGGAGATTCTCCTTCACTTTCTTTCCCAGGAATGCAACATGAAGTGAGAGAAAATCTGTACAAAGTGGTGGGGAATTCTCCAAACCAGAAAAAGTGCCCTCACTGGAAGATTTTCCCTCACCCCTTGTTCTGGTGGCAACTGTAAGATGATGGATTTCCTATCACTTTCTGTCTCGGTGACTATGGTCACTAGGGTAAAAAAAAGAGGGTAAATCTACACAAGAGGGACAAAAAAAAAAAAAAAAAAGAAAAAAAAAAAAAAAAAAAAAAAAAAAAAAAAAAAAAAAAAAAACTTTAAAAAAACGCTGTCACCTAGGTGTGAATAGAGACTAATTTTCCAGATAGGTGTCAACATCAGGACAAGCCTAGTCGAAAACCAGTTTAGGCAAAATACTGTGATCAGAAACTACGTGAAAAGGTAAAAAAGAAAACCCCACCTTAAAAAGGGTAACATTTTAAAAACAGATAAAAAAATAATATCACACGTCAAATCACAGCAATAAAATTGTGATCAGCACTGGAAGGGTTCATCGTTTTAAAAATAAACGAATCAAAAATGGGTAAAACAAAGGGTAAAATTATAATTTAAAAAAAAATGCAAAAAACACTTTCGATCATGTGACCCGAATTGCAGATTGCCTGAGATGCCAGGCAAGTCCTTGAATCAGATCCCAAGGGATATAATCGGAGTTAGGACGTTCCATGCCGTCCGAACGTCTTTAAAGCCCATGCTTTCCAGGACGGCATGGAACATCCCAACGTTGGGAACTGGTTATGGGGAATGGAATAGGAGGTGGGCCAGAACACCCACTCCCAGGAACATTTGGGAGTTATCGTAATGGGATCTGTTGGAGTATAAAAGACATACAAGAATTCTACCAAGCTCCCCGTAGAATTAAAATATCCCTTAAAGGGTGGACCGACCCTTTAAATGTGTATGTTTATTTTTGAACCTGCACCAGACAAAATGAAATATTGCTTGCCGATACCAAGACAGACATTTTCCTTTTTATGATACAGAAGAGGGGTGTTGTTGGCGCCACAGTGCTGCTCCAGTAACACTCAGTGCATTCTCAAACAATATTATGTACCAGCAATCTCTGATCAGGTACATTTTCTTGCCAATGTAAAATGATAAAACAGGTCATTTAGCTAGGCAGTGCAGTTGCTGATACATTAGAGGTTTAGGTCCAGCAGGTAGGAACAGGATGTTTACCTCTGCTTTCCTCTTCAGATCCATTTTTCTGCTGATCACATGTTCCAAGTCCATAAATCCTGTCAGGGAAAAAACAAAATCACAAGTCAGGTCACTGTGCACCAAACACAGACAGTCCGAGTGTAAATATGCCCTGAGGTCAGTTTAACATCTTCAGTACAGAAAATGTAGAAATGTTAAACAAAAGCTGGAAATTACATTTAAGCTAGAGACAAGAATAATATATAAAAGAATAATCCTAAAAGGAGCCTTGTGTAATAAAAAATATGAAGTTGTTATTGTGGAAGTGCCAACTCCTAAAAGCCCCCTTCATTAGAGATAACGTGACCACAGACATGGTACCTTTCACGCGACACAATGCCATAGGTAACCCAGATTTCCAGGATTACAGGAGTAGGTTTTCTCAATATCACCCATATTTTTTTTTTTTTTTTTTTTACAATATTTAAGAGAAATAAGGGAAACAGGTACAAATCAAGATTATAACGTAATAACAAGACATTATAAAGTCATTCTATTTATGAAGAAATCCAGAGATATGACCTTTGGTAGCACAAAATTGCCAACACAACAGGCAGAAATAACAGGCAGAAATAATGCAGCTTACAAGGAGTATTCCATTAGTGTTGTTGTTGTTGCTGGTGCAAAGTTCAGGTTCTGGCAGGATAATTGGCCCAGTATTTAGTGGAGTAGTGGACCTGCATATAAGGTCTACTTGGGTGTGTGCTAGAAATACTAGGGGCTCTGGATCTCCTCTGTTAGGAGTCAAATTGTAGACTAAAGCTGGCCATACACATTACAATTATCTGCAGATTTTCTGTGGTCAGATGGAAAAGGTGCAACAGATTCCTGCATCTACACTTAACTGTGTGGATGGAGTAATCTCCAACCGGGCCAATCTGTTGCACTTTTTCCATCTGACCACAGAAAATCTGCAGATAATTGTAAGGTGTATGGGCACCTTAAGTAAGCTGAAGTTATGAGGGTATGTTTGCGTGTTCTCCAGTATGGCAGATAAAGCCTTAATGTTGAGAATTGTGGGGGAAACAGATCTGAGAGAAGGGGACAGCAGAATACAGAAAATGATAGGAATAGATGGAGGGGGGTGGGGGAGTTGGGGGGCAGCCGAGAAAGATCTGGGGCAGGTTTGTCAGCAGACTGGTCAGTCTTATTATTAAACAGATTTGGGGCCTTCACCATATATTTAAAACAAGCATCCAACCTTTTTTCAGTCACAGCACCTTTTAAATATTTGCAAAAACCTCGAGGCATAACAGTATAAAATTTAAAAACAGTAAACGTAAAATATGACATGTGGCGCCTGAAAAATAGGCCCAGACACACGCGAAGACACACAAAGTGGGGTTCCCCCTTAACATCAGAGTCTCCTGTAACATCACGGCCCCCCTTTCACAGCAGAACCTCCAATTTACATCAGAGTTTCCCTCTTTCCTTCACATTAGAAGCCTTCTTCACATCAGAGGAATGGATGTGTAAAACGTGCGAGGCACCCCCGAGGAAGCCAGGAGGCACATCCTTGTGGAGAAAGGCTTGATTTAAACCCCTGCAATATTGTTCAGGCAGAGTTGACAAGCTGCACTGTGACCTCCTTGGGAGCACATTGCCATTTGTTACAAAAGATTCCAGATTATTAATGGAGGTCATCAGTGACAAAACGCACAATATAAAAGTGGAATGCTGCAATGTTGACAAACCTCTCCCGACTTTCTCAGCCCTTACTTTCAGACTTGTGAACTCTTATAACCCTCTTCCCACCCTAATATCTTACTCATCTAGAAGGGTTACTATTTAACTCCAGAGTCCGAGTGTAATCACACAGTCAAATGATTCACACTACAGGTCTATAGAAATTACAACATTAAGCTTTCTTTGCTACTGTAACCAACAGATGAAGGTGTTGAAAAAGAAGGTGTAGTGAAAATCTAGCTATCAGTCTCTGGCTACCAGTTTCAGGACTATGGCAGCCTCAGGCTAGGTTCACACCTGCACTACACCGCAGGACACCCGGGATTGTGCGGTCCTGCACAATGCAGGCAGCGATTGCCGCACGGCCCCATTGACTTCCATCCGCGCGGCAATCGCAGAAAAAAGGTACATGTACCGCCTTTTTGCTATACATGACGCGGCGCGACTGGGGTGCCATTACAAAATCATGGCTACCCACAGCGCGATCGGTTCACACCTTGGCAATTGGTGACCAGTGAGGTGTCACCTAGGTGTGAACCTAGCCTCAAACAGCAGAGAGGAATCCTTGCGGGGACTGTCAGTCACCGCTCGCTGCAGGCAGAAAATCGGGAGCTGAGCGAATAACAGTATGTGATCACTCAGTTCTCCATCTATAGAGCCGATGTGTGAGCTTCTGTGTCACACGTCGGCTCTAATTATGGGGATCAGTGTATTTCACTCTCCCCATAATTCACCTTTAATCAAAGACTACTGTGCCCAAAGTGAATCAGAAGTATACATTTCTAGAAACAGAGACAAGCTACTGCAGTGTACAATTATTTACTTCAGATTTTGAAGCACTCAAATACACCTAGTATATCACAGGATGAAGTTCCCACATGACAGGAAGCACACTGCAATATTCTAGGCACTCAAGAGAAATCATGGGGAATTGTGACTTCCTATCCTGGTGACTATACAGGAAGTGAAGGAAAGTCCTTGTAATTGTGGGGGGCGGGGGGGTTTAGCCCCACCCACCACCTAAAATAAGGTTTTACAGTCTTCCTGTGCATTTTGGCTATTTACAGTAAATTACATTTACTTATTTAGCCTAAGGAATGCATTCATCCAAAAAAGATAGAACCACATAGTTCTCCTTTAAGAGTTTGTTAGGTGCTGGGCTTTAATGCTGTGGGAAAGTCCTTTGGATGGCGTCACATCCTGAATAAAAAAACAAAAGGACAGTATTTGCTGTCAAACTGCACGTGCAAAAACTTGGGAGGATATGCCCTTGAGATAAATCCAGACATACAGCAGTTCATATAGTTAATCAGCTTGTTGTTTTGCCATAGTTTCATAAATGAGAAATGGGGGCGTGATGCATTATGTCCTGTATTAAATTGTAACTAAAAATGTCAACACCATAATCATTTTGCAAAGAAGATAACAGCCTTTAGACTTGTTTTGAGCTGTAAATCAAATATTCCTAGTAGCACAATGAATTAGGAGTAGCAGAGACGGTGAGCGAATGCCGCAGTAAACGTGTAAGAAGTGTAAGAAGTGTAATGTGGTAATGGCACATTTCACAAACCTCAGGGCTCTCTGACCTACCATGCTTCACTGAGCAGTTCTCAGTAGTCTTAGCATAAGAAAGAAATAGAAGAACCAATAAAGCTTTCATCGTACCAGCTCTGCCTAGCAAAAAACACACATTCAGAGTTCTTATTGTAAAAATATATCTTACTCTAAAACGTCTAGTTACTAGCTAGACAAGTACACAATGCCCACCCACTCGTGTACAAAATGTACAACGACAAGGTTACATTGTGAAACGTCTAGTACATAACAGAAGGAACACAAGTATTTACACATACCGTGCACGTTGAAGCCTAGTGAACGTCACTTGCTTGGAGCTTGAAGTGAACCTGTGGCCAGACTATGGTCACTAAAGTAATAAAATATTCTGAGCAAGCAAAAACAAGAACTTAAAAAAAAAAAATCCTTTTTCATCTCTATAACTATAGACATTGCGGAGAAATTATTCTTCAAAATTCACAACAGACTCTGAAATCACTGCTCATTTTCCCATTATTTTCTATGGAGAGCAAATCTGCAGTCTTCCAGTCTTCTAATGTAAACAAGCAACAGGTGAGAATGAATGTCCTCAAAGTACATGCAGCTACAGAGATCAGCGAGTGCTTACTTAAGCAGCAAAAGATCTGTAAAGATCATGCAAATACTTTAACGTCCATAATCTGGCCACAGCTGCACTTCACTTTATCTAGCATTCCAAACTATTGGTTTATATTGTTCAATAATTCATACAGACTTGTAAAGTTACTGATAGGTCCATTTCACTCCTCGCCTCTGTCTCCTGGTGGCCTTTTTAAAGGCATCTCAAAGTTGGGATCAAGTGATCACTGCTCCCAATTGTTAACAGTGACCAGGAGCTTGCATCAGCCCAGTCACTGTGCTGGGGGTATGTCCATGAGGGAGCTTTAAACACAGAACAGCACTAAAGGTTTGCCCGCCGGGGTGATGCACATATGCGTTACGGCGGCGTGAGGGTTGCATGATCAGGTAAAATAAGGCGTCTCTTATTGCCAAGGTCAAGAAAAGAAATCGGATGTGTATAACAATCTGTATATAAGCACACCTTTTGGTGCCTACCAAACTGTAGCAATACTTTACTTAAGAAGGACTTTGTACAAAGACGCTCAGAATAAATCAGAGAACACTTGCACTCTGTAGATAGCAGTCAATCTCCTTTATTGACTGAGCATGATGTCACATACACAAAGCAACGTTTCGGGACCAGATAGCCTGAAGTAACTATCTGGTCCCGAAACGTTGCTTTGTGTATGTGACATCATGCTCAGTCAAAGGCGATTGACTGCTGTCGACAAACTGAGTGCGAGTGACTTAATGGTATTTTGCATTTGATGTGCGGAGGCATTTGCTGTCACTTTCAGCACCCCCCAGTTTTGGTTGGGATCTACTACATTTTTAAATCCGACCACACACACACATTTTTTTTTTTTAAAAGCCTATTTCATTAATGTGTCAGAAGGAAACCTGTTTCTGTTGCCAATAGTAAAGCTAAATTTTAATGTTTGCTATGGAAAAAAAATTCAAAAGGAAGTCCTTATTTGTCTGATAAATAAAGCTTATTGTGCAATCACTAGTGTAAATCAATACAATTACAAACAAGAAGCAAATAATCTGACAGTTGTGACCAAAGTACTAAGACTATGTTCATGTTCACTATAATTATTAAGTCTTTGACTGTTCACCCGGAGAAGAGACAAAACACTGAGACTCTGTTCTTTCCTTTGTGTCATGTGGCTTTTGTGCTGTGTGAGCAAGCACGGAG